TTGGAAGTTTCGAAATTAATACTTTTAAAAATCTGTTTTATTTTATTTTTTAACCAATTTTTTTTTAGATTTTTTTTCCTTTAAAAAAACTAGAAAAACGATGACGTTTTGTGGGCTGGAGCTCTAATTCGTAGGTCTTACACTTTAAAATAGTATCTACATTTTATAAATTGCCATTATTTATAAAACAAGATTTTGATATCCAAATGGTTGGATCAAGTGAAGCGAGAGCCAGACATTTTCTAATAATTAGTAGAGTAAGGTTTAAGATTCGATGACAGACATTCTAGTAGAGTAAGGCTTACGATTTGATGTCATATTTATAATGAGATTTAAATAAGCCATACAAACATTAACAACTCCAAAAATTCTTTAATAGATTGAAATTGGTTTGCAAAACTCATCTGTACGGGTTATCACATGATATTTCAATCGAGTATATTCAGAACTTTTCTTATTTAAGCGTTATCAATCAATATCGATATATTAATTAATTTCTTGTTTAAATTTTTATTCATATACATAAATTAATAGGCAGAAAGTAGTTTTAACCAGAAGTAGGTTTATTATCGCGATGAAAAAAATGATATGAATCTTCAGCAAAATTACAGTAAGGATCGCTTCAATTATCGCTGTTTGCAACTTTGATCAAATTTGTAGATCGCCGCATGCTCGATTGTCAATTGTACATGATTGTACATAATTTTATGCGATTTCTTAAAATTTTTTTTTTATTTGAATTCTGTGAATCTACAGAATTCGAATAAAAAAAAAATTTATCGAATTTGATCAGATAGTTACTAAAATATCTTCGCTCAAACTTTAGGAAAATTTGACGCAGTTTCTATTCCTGACATTTTAAAAAAAAAACTTTGAGCGATGATGTCTCAGCAACCATCTGATCAAATTTGATAGATTTTTTTTTATTTGAATTCAATAGATTCATAAAATTCAAATAAAAAAATATGATCAGATGATTGTTGAGAAATCGCATAAAATTATGTACAATCACGTACAATCGACAATCGAGTATGCAGTGATCTACAAATTTGATCAAAGTTAGCAATAATCGTACAATATCGGTAGCTAGCTAGTCACATTGAGAGCACCCTTAGTTTCTAAGTTTAGCGATTATTTATATTTAATATGAGCAGTTCACGTCTCATTTAGCTTTTTATCCAAATTAGTCCGTATAATTATCATCTGCCATGAATATATGCAGATTAGCGTTAGTATGACCAGATCCTATTTTTAATATCTATTCTGGCGGTATGTATTATTAGGGTTAGCATTAGAAAACTATAGTAGATTGGCTTTTAAAGAGGTATTTTGCACTCTACGTATACTTTATACATACATCTTAAAACCTTATGAAATTTCTTGCTTGCTTAAATTATAGCATTTCATATTAATATTGTTGTATTTAGTTGTGTATCCATATCTGAATTCTGTATTGTTTTAAATTAGGTTTACATTTATCCATTCCTGTTTTAGCGCGAAAATGTCGTGCAGATACTTATTTTTTAAAATAAAATTTTAGAAAACTATACTGATCCGCTTTATGTAAGCTCATACCAGACTGATTATACCATTATCTATTTCTTCGCATATCTTTGTAAATTAGCTAATGTTATTTTATAAGGGTTGCTTTATCTCATGATTATCAAATGAATTTTTATTGGTTGACTATATTAAAAAAAAAAAAAAAAACTTCAATCCTGACTTTGTTGATGCAGGTGGAATATGAAAACTAATTATATAAATTTATATGGCCTTATTGATTTGTGCTCGGGTCTTTTATAAAATACCACAACAAACAATTTTGAAATATACCTGGTACAAATCAAGTAAAGTATAAATCAAGAGGGTATCTTGCATTGCGTTTTATGATATGTTGACCGGCCCAAGATTTTTTAGGATTAACTCTGGCCTATAATTTTTCTATCGGCCCTTATTACTATATATAGTACATAAAAGCATGTAAGTTAGTAATTATCAAGATAAATGGATATCCGGTTATGATCTCTAATTTTGGCACGGTATTAATTGTTACGATCACATATGTACGTATATATATACACATATACGTACATATATACAAGATACTTATTATTGAGTTGTGTTATACATATTATGCATGATTAAATAATTATTCTATATAACAGTCTTAGAAAATAGAAAATATATTTGTTAGTGATTTGCTTTTAAAAACAATTATAATATATAAATTTTGATTTTAATAAATTAATAAATCTTTATTTTTAAAATTTTAATCCTATAATTAAAATTCTTTTAATAAAATCATTTGCTTAGGCAATTGCTTTATAATATCTTTAATTTTTTAAAATTATATACACAAATTTTTTTAAAAAAATGGCTCAACAAAATATTCAATATATTTGTTCAATTTGTTTAAAAGATATTTCAAATTATAGAAGTGTTACAAATGATCTTAAATTTAAAATTGATAATTGTCCTGATAAAGAACATTATCAAAAACTTAGACTCAATATTGATAAACTATATTCTAGTTGTTATATGAAAAAATTATAAATTCTTATCAACGTCAAATTTCTATTATAGATTTAATGGAAACTAGCAGATCTAATACTCCTACAAATTTAATAGAAACTAGTAATTTAGTAAATTTAATAGAATTAATTGAAACTCAAAAAGAAGAATTAATTTATCAAAATAAATTAAATGAAATTAATCAACAAATTATAGATATTAAAATTAATATAACTGATGATACAATTTCAATGGATAAAGAAAATTTTAATCAATTAATTAAATTAATTCTTCAAAAAGATTTAAAAATAGAAACATTAAATAATCAAAATAATCAAGTTCAAAAATATTCATTTTCTCAGCAAATGGAATTATTATCAGCTGTATTATTAAAATATCAAAATGAAAATAATGAATATTTATTAGATCCTGAACAATTTCAACAAATGATTGAACAAAATAAACCAAAATTAAAAAGATTTTTTGATGAAATGATTAATGCTCTAATTTCAAAAAGAAGACTTATCAAAAATAGAGAAAAAGCAATAAAACAAATAGTTGTATATTGTTATCTTTTAGTTGGAATAAGAAACAAATTTGTTAAAAATTTTAAATTAGATCTTGGACTTTATTTATATTCATCAGGAATGACTCAAACTGGAATTAATACTTTATCCAATGCTGGTCTTAGTGTTTATACAAAAACAATTCAAAGATATAAAAAAAATATTGCAAAAGCACATTTAACAAAACTTAATAAATATTTTAATTTAAATGTAAATTATTTTTATTTTTTATTTTTTTAATTTTATATTTAAATTTATTAATTAATATAATATAATTATTATTTAGTCAAATATTTTTTATTGTTTTAATATTGATGATTTTCATGATATTCATGGAATTCGAAGACCAAATACAACAACACTTAGTTCAGTAAATCATATGGCAACATGTGTAGCAAAACCAATTATTAACACATTACCAGCTCCAGCAATTTTAAATAATAATCAATTTAGAAATTGCACATTTTTTAATCCAGACAATATTGATGATCAGCTAATAATAAAATATTTATATTCTAATATTCAAGGTATATTTGATATTAGTTATAATACACAAAAACTTGATTAGGTAAATAATAATAGTAATAATATACAATTTGAAAATCAAGATCAAATTGAATTACTTACAATTCATATATATGATGATGCTATAAATGAGCGTAAAGAAGAAAGATCAATGAAAAATCTTAAAATTGTTGGAGTACAAAAGCAAAATTTACATTCAACAAAGGATTATTTAGATGTATTAGAAATGATTACTTCAATAGAATCATTACAACAATATCTTAAAAATTATATTATACCAATAATTGCAGATTGGCCTGGACAATATTTTATTTGAAAAATTTTAACACATTATTATCAAAAAGTTAATCCTATTAGTACAAGAAATTTTACTCCTTTAACAGTTCCTGAAAATATTGGTAATTTTATTCCAATTATTGGGCCCCTTCATATTTCATTAAATTTTCGTGAACAAGTAATTCTTGTTCATTATTCATTTTTTAAAAAATTTTTTCATTATTTATTTGGTGATAAAAAAAAATTTGCAAAAAAACCTAAACCTTGAAGAATTAATTTATTACTTGAATTAATTTTTAATGGATGGAAACAAATATCACAAAAAATTTTATTAAAATTTAAAAATAATTGTAATGATATAGAATATAGAATGATATTGGATCTTTTAGATAATTTAGTACCTGCAACTTTAGATATATATGCAATTCTTTTTAGATCGGGGGCTTTTGATCAATATTTTAATACTTTATTTCGATTATGGACATTTGCATTACGATGGAATAAAAAAAATTATAACAAAGCACCATTAGCTTTTATATCAGATTATCTTTATTGGCAACAAATTAATCATCCTTTAGCAAATATTATACCAAAATCTTTAGTTAATTTTAATGATTATTTTGTTTAAAATTTTCATAGTAGATTACGAGCAAATATTAATATTAATTATACTGCAGATAATATTATTGAACAATCATATTTATTAGATATACATGATAATCAATTATTTAATAATTTTCGTACTAAAAAAACATATCCATATAAACCAAAACAATTAGATTATTTAACCAAAAAAAGTAGTTTATTTTTATTAGAACATTTTCAAAATATTTTTCAAAATATAGGAAAATGCAAAATAATTAAAACCAAAGATAATATTAGTTTTTTTATGGCAACACTAGATGAAACTCTTAATCTTAAATGTTTGCCAACTGGTTATCATACAGCTCATTTACCATCATTAGATGCTTGTGATCATTGTACAATTCCAATTAGATATTCAACTGGTAAAACATATATTTGTGAACATTCTTATCATGATGAATGTTATAATATTTTTAAAGCTTGTAAACATTGTTTAGAATATTATAAAAAAGGAATTTTTAAACAAGTTAAAGCATTTAAAAAAGGATTAGAAAAAACTGAAGATGAACAAAATATTATAGAAACTGAAAATACAGATGAGGATGATGATAATAATTTAGATGAAGAAGAAAATAATAATGAAACAAAAGAAAATATAGATGATAAACTTCAAATAGCTATTAATACTATTAATCAATGGATAATTATAGAATAAATTAATAATTATTTATAATATTTTAAATTTTTTATTTAATAAATTTTAATATATAATAAATATATAAATTCCAATTTTAATAAAATAAATCGATATAAAATTTTTTTCTTTATCAAATTCTTGTAATATAATAAGTGCAAGCATAATCCTTTAAGTAATTAATCACACTATTATTTAAGATAAGTATATGATAATTATATGCATTTACGCTAAACGATTTTTTTATTAAATAATATTATCGTGTAATGAACGTTATTGCGTAACGAACATTATTGCATAACGAACGTCGTCTTGTGACGAATATTACCAAAACGTTATTGCGTAGTGATATTTTTAAATAACCGACATTTTCTTTTCTAATCCTATAGATCAACTATACGATGTTAACAACAGCACCTAGAAAGAAGAAACTGGAAAAAAAAAAAGGATCGTTAATAATGCAAGTTGAAAAAGAAAAACAATCAGCAATAAATCCGCCACCAAACTATACTACTTACCAAAAAGCGATAAACGATACCCACCAAAGCGCTTAATCATTATTAAAAAGAAGTTACAAAATCACGCCATTTACAAAGCAACACCAGCAACATACTGACACGACAAAATCAGCAGGTCCATGATCCGGAAGAAGAAAGGCGTTAGTAGATATACAAGTAAAAATAAAACTAGATATAGAAAAGAAAAGCCTACCTTAAAAAGAACTAGCATGAATTAAAAGCACCAACAAACGAAGAGGCACTAAAACAATCAATCGAATGCACCAATGACACGACATAGAAAAAGCGAAACACAAAAACGACTACACGAGTGAAGTGAGGACAATTATAAGACCAACGACAACACAAAAAAAAGAAAATTGATTAGTAAAAGAAAATTGAATATAAAAAAAAGACATGAAATATCAAAAAGTATTAAAAGTCGAAAGTAATACTCAGAACCAGACAATGTCTTAAGCGCAACTTTGCTAGATGGTTCACGTTCATACGTTCATAATCTCGGACAACTAAAAATCTTAGTAGTCAGTAAACTAGACAAAGTAAATAAAAATAAACTCATTCTATACCGAAATTAAATACAACAAATAAAAAAACTATAAAAATTAATTAAACAAAGTGTCTGTCTACCTGGGGCTTCGAATTTAAAAAAAGAATCTAGAAAAAAAGAATGTTCGGTAAGTTAGAATATCACTAAACTTCTACTTATCAGCGTATATAATATTTTTACTTGTACCAAACCTACCCATTAACGCGTGATTCAGCGTGATTCACCGTGATTCAATGTAGGGGTGTTCGCTACGAAGATATTTAATTAGTGAAGCAATATGCCGATACTTGTTTTTTTTATAAATTTGATTATACGCGAAAATTTTGATTTTACAGTACTACGCCATATAAATATTTAAGTAACGTCGATCCCGGAATTTATCGGATACAAAAGTCCCCCCTCTAATTTAAAAATGTCTAATATGGAAGTAAAAAAAAAAAAAGTATGCCTATTGAGGCGATTATGTATTTATTCTGAGCTTCAACTAGCGACAATTTACAATGATACTTAAAAGTGTATCAAACACACATAGCCGGCCACGAACATGAAACCTCACATGCAGCCCCACATGAGGATCTGTGCGCTCTAACCGTTAATCCACATCAGTATAAATACAAAAATTTTTTTTTTTTTTTAATACTAATGTAGTTATTCAGCATCTAGTGTGTGTAACCAAGTGATAATCTGGGTCCTTGTGTTATATAGTAAACTTTGGGGTTATGTTTACTATGTAAATTAAAGAAAAGTTTTTTCTTTACTAAGTAAATCTCTTTTTTGATCCCAAGTAAAGTTGTAGAGGAGTGTTTTGCGATTAGAATGGTGGTTAAAACGTTAAAATCGGCCCAGTGGAACGCGAGATATGAGCATTTTGGTCTTTGTGATTATATATTTTCTTTATTTATATAAAGAAAACATATAGTCGCGAAGACTAAAATGTTCCTATCTCGCGATCCATTGGGCCGATTTTAACATTTTAACCGCCATTCTAATTGCAAGACACTCCTCTACAACTTTACTTAAGCGTCGAAAAAGGTTTACTTAGTAAAGAAAAAACTTTTTCTTTGGGAAACTCCAAATTTCAAAGACAATAGTAAATATCTCTATTTTTTACTATAAATGATGGAGTCAATAGAAAAGGGACAAATCATTTTTAATCATATTTGCTAAATTTTTTTTTTATTTTAATTTGAAATTATATAGAATTAAAATAAAAAAAAAATTTATAAAATTTAATAAGATATTTAAGCTTAAAGTCAAGAAAACTTTTATTTAAAAAAAATTTATTCCTTTTCTATTGACTTCACCCCATGTATGTTACTAGTTTATAGATGAACTATGAATTAATTTACAATAATAATTTGGTATTGTAAATTAATTTTTTTATATAGTTTACATTAGATAAAAAATCAGCTATATAATATTAGTGTTTCATTTTTTTTTTTTTTAATATTAAAGATGAGATTATGCTTTTATCTTTATTAAACTTAATGAAAACTTTTTACATGATTGGAAAAGGTTTTATATTCTAAGTCTAGTACTAAGAATAAGAACTCAGACTAACTAAGTGCTTAATAAAAGCAAACCTAGTATTATCTGCGGTCTAAACCTATAATATCAGTGTTTTTTTAGCAATAGTTTTTTAACAACTATATATTTATACTTAATAAAGTTTTTTTATTATAATCTAAAGCTTGAAGAATTGAAATAGAAAAAATTTTATCAAATTTGGCTTAGTAGTTTTTAAGTAAACTTTATTTAAAAGTTTAAAATAATACCAAAATTATACAAATCAAAAATATTGCTAAAATATAGTTTTTAAAATTTAAGTAAAAATTTCTTAATAATTGCCAAACCAAATTTAATAATTTTTTTTATTTTAATTCTATGAGTTTGTAGAATTAAAATAAAAATATTTTATCAAATTTGAAATTGAAGGCTAAAAAAAAAATTTGGTTATAGCTATGATTAATTCTTTGTATAAATAACAAAACTTTAAACAAAGTTTACTCTATACATACCTAGTTAATTTTTTTTATTTTAATTTAATTAATAAAAAAAAATTAATCAAATTTAACAAGATATATATAAAGTAATCTAGGGTTCCTATATTTGATCCAGTCTTAGTTCGAGTTTGATCAAACTTCAAACTCAAACCAAACTTAAACCATGTATTTTATAAAATTCAAATTTGAGCAAAGGTTTAATAATTAAATTAAGCAAAGGTTTAGTAAGTAAAAGTTTAGTAAGTTATATAAAAAAATAATTTGAGTAAAGGTTAATTTGAGCAAAGGTTTAATAATTTATATAAAAAAATAGAAATTTAATAAGTAATTTAAATAAAGGTTCAATAAAAAATAATTTAAGCAAAGATTTAATAATTAATTTGAGCAAAGGTTTAGTAAGTAACAAATAAAGACTTAGTAAGTTATATAAAAAAATAATTTGAGCAAAGGTTTAATAATTTATATAAAAAAATAGAGGTTTAATAAATAATTTAAGCAAAAGTTCAATAAAAAATAATTTGAACAAAGGTTTAATAATTAATTTGAGCAAAGGTTTAGTAAGTAAAGGCTTAGTAAGTTATATAAAAAAATAATTTGAGCAAAAGTTAATAATTTATATAAAAAAATAAAGGTTTAATAAGTAATTTAAGCAAAGGTTTAATAAAAATAATTTGAGCAAAGATATAATAATTAATTTAAGCAAAGGTTTAGTAAGTAAAGGCTTAATAAGTTATATAAAAAAATAATTTGAGCAAAGATTTAATAATTTATATAAAAAAAATAGAGGTTTAATAAGTAATTTAAATAAAGATTAAATAAAAAATAATCTGAGCAAAGATATAATAATTAATTTAAGCAATGGTTTAGTAAGTAAAGGCTTAGTAAGTTATATAAAAAATAATTTAATTGAAGGTTTAATAATTTATATAAAAAAATAGAGGTTTAATAAGTAATTTAAGTGAAAGTTTAATAAAAAATAATTTAAGTAAAGGTTTAATAATTAATTTAAACAAGGTTTAATAAGTAAAGGCTTAGTAAGTTATATAAAAAAATAATTTAAGCAAAGATTTAATAATTTATATAGAAAAATAGATATTTAATAAGTAATTAAAGCAAAGATTTAATAACAAATAATTTGAGCAAAGATATAATAATTAATTTAAGCAAAGGTTTGGTAAGTAAAGGCTTAGTAAATTAATAAAAAATAATTTGATTGAAGGTTTAATAATTTATATAAAAAAATAGAGGTTTAATAAGTAATTTAAGTGAAAGTTCAATAAAAAATAATTTGAGTGAAGGTTTAATAATTAATTTAAGTAAAGGTTTAGTAAGTAAAGGCTTAGTAAGTTATATAAAAAAATAATTTGAGCAAAATTTAATAATTTATATAAAAAAATAGAGGTTTAATAAATAATTTAAGAAAAACTCTTTTTATCAATCACTTATACAAAAATTTTTCTAAAAACTTAACTTAATAAAAGCTCATTTTTGTAATAATCTAATTTTTTGTTCTAACAAAACTTTTTTTACGTATAAAATTACATATAATATTCAAACTTTAAAGAGATAGCTCCAAAACTCTTTAAATAATGACTTTTTGGGTCATATAAGTCTCTTTTGCCTTTAAGCAAAACCTGGATTTCTAACATTCTTCAAAAGTATAATACAAGTTATTCTATATATTTTTTTTTTCAAAACAAGCTATAATAAACTTCTGTAGCTTTGATATTGACTGAGCTATAAGCAAAATAATTCTTAACTCTGTTTAATTTTTTCTTTTCTTTTTACTTTGGAAATTTTTCTTTTTCCAAACAACTAGAGATGTTTTTTGTATAACTAAGGCAATCCTAGCCATGCTACCCACGTTCTACAATACTTTAAAACTAGTGGCACTTTTTAAATCACACTAAAATTGCCTCATTTCAACTAATATAATAATTTTAATATTTGCCTTTTTGTAATTTCTATTTATATAATAAGATTCCCTTTTGGTTTCATGTAACATGTGATTATCATGGGATTTTGTATAACACAAAACTTCAAAATCCAATCTATAGGTCACATGACCTCTTGTGTACTCTAAATTAAAACCCCATTTTTATCTACTTCTGAATAGTTTATACTTACACAACCCTGTTCTTTTCTTATACTCTTTTTTTAACTCAGAAAAATTTTATAAAAAATTAATTTCTATTACAAATTCTAAGTCATATTTACTAATTTTTATCCTCTTTTGATTCTTTAAAATGCCTACTCCAATCCAGCAAGAACTAGATACTATTGATCTTGACTACTTCTTTGCTTACTTTGCTACAAGCTTTGGTATTGCTTTTCTCAAAGACAAACTAACTAACAATATTAAACCAATCCCACCAAACTAAGAACCTTCTAATTGCCATATTAAAACTACACGTACCAAGATAGCGGCATACTTCTTTTGTGCACTGAAATTAACATCAATTGCTACATGCTTATGTGACAAATACTATACTTAATTTATTGCTAAAAACAACTCTATCTACCAATCTGCTACTATATTTTCTCGAGTAGCTACTAGTAAAAAGCTATTTCAAAATGAAACAAAAGTTATCCAACAAATTTCAAAAACCTCTAACAACATTCTACCTTTTCTGACATGCCAACCTTGTTAGCATATCTGCCCTCAATACTCCAAAACTATTAATTGTCATTTCTATAACAATAAACACCACCCTAATGAGCTCTTCATAC